ACCAAATTGGTCCATCTATCAGGAAAACTTAAAGCAAATGAACTCCTAAAATACAAGTAATATAAACAACAAAATATTCAGTAATGGAAGACAGCAAAACAGAAGAAAAACAATTTTTTTTTTCAACAACAGCTGACAGAAAAATAGTTGAGGAGAAAAATCATACTAATATTACTTAGCTGTTCAGCATTGACAAGAGCTGGTGGTTTAAATTCATAACAGGTAATGAAGGTTTGAGGGTAGCCAGTTATATAAGCAAAAGACAGAGAGAAGGGGAAAAAATAAAAAAATCACTCTAAAGAGCTATTCTTAAGTGCAACTTGACAAATCCAAGAAAGCAAATGCAATTTCCAAATAAGATTTTTGGTTGGGACTCTGAAAGTATCCTTGGCTGAGCTAACAGCGCAAAGGGACTGCAAAATCATCCTCCAACTAGCATGTGAGAGTGGGTATATTGAAATGAAGTCAAAGGACCCTCTTAAGGGTCTGCAATTTTTTTAAGATAAAAATAGATATGCCTTTTCTGACCTCAGCAACGTAACTTTGACTTTGGGAGGTAAATACTGAACAATACTGGATACAAAGTCAACACATATACAAGGAAAACACAGAGCAAAGACACATCAGACTTTTTATTTTAATTCTCTCTGCATACACAGGTACATTGAAGTGTTACGAATTTAGGAGTAAATTACTCAAATTGGGAACAGGATTCTAATAAATAATACATAATCAGGAACTACCAGAGAAGTTCTGAGAAAGTGCAACTTTGCTCTTGGCAGAAGAGCAGCAGACCTGGAAAGACACATCTTGATGAATTATGTGAAAGCAACTCCGATGAAAATGTAACAGGAATGACTGATAGGAAGTACTTGGTTTTGAAGGGAATGAATAAACAAATATTTCCACAGCAGCAAACTATGAGATTTCTGAGAACTGAGAGGAAATGTCCAAAGAAGGGGACATGGCAAGCACTCTCAAGAATTTCCCAACCTATCACGGTTGGAATTAATGAACCAGAAAGGTTATGCCCACTGCAGCCCTCATTTTTTTCAGTCTGCAGGTCTGGATTACTACTCTCACTACAAAAATTGGCCAGTGTCTCCTAAAAGTGCAAATATTCACAATTCTCTAAGAATCTAGTTTGCATACGCTCCCTTCAAGATCAGACATTAAATAGATTCCACAATTACTGCCTACAGATGGGAAAAATATAGAACCTCTTTTGTTTACAAGAGGATAAGAAAAAAATAAAATCAAAGTTCATAAACTAAGCATTATTATAGAAACATGCTACACATTATGAATAGATATAAAAACAATATTTGAAATCATAGAAAATTACACCTCCTGACTAGGGACTTAAGTTGAATGAAATAAACATTTCCCTGGCATGCAAACAATCACTTGCTCTATAAGAAAAGCACTTTTTACATTTGACATTTTAGGAATTTCGAGGGGGGGCATAGCAGAAGTTTTCACCAAAAGTCATGCAAAATACACCAAAATGCGTCATTCCAACGCTGGTACCTATCACGTTCCAGCAGCTCATGGCTATTGTCACACCAGTTTTCTGCTTGTCCTCAAGCAGTTCTTGAAAGCATCATAAACTTTAAAAAAACTGAGTTCCAGCAAAATGGAACTTCTATTCTGACTGACCTTTCAGCAAATTGTCTTCGAACTGAAGATAAACCAGCACTTCTCTAAGTGTGCCTCAAAGAAAGGGCAAAAGATTTCAATGCACCATCCACCACATTTTGAACTACTCTTTGTCACACAAATGACAGCCAGCTTCATGATAGCAGGGAAAAAGAATTAAAGACATGGGGGTAACTCCTTATCTTGGATGTTGCATCTACAAACACAGGATTTGTTTCACAGCACAACGTAAAATCATCACCAAAAATACCAACGTGCAGAAGTGCAGAGGAAGCATTTAACCGAGTTCCTGAGTCCTTTCCTTTTTGTATGACACTCCCAGTACTGCTCTGTCTCAGCAATTACACCCCTTTGGCTTCTTAAACCACAGCAAGGAATTCAGCACATAATACACACATATGCTGTATGCTCTCCACAGAGGAAAAGTGCAGGTCACACATCCTTTAGGCACAACCCCAAGGGTTAACCAAGAAGAAGAAAAGCAGCTCAGCCCAGGAAAGGATGCAGCTGAACTACAAAATTAAATACTTCTAGTCCTTGTCTTTCTTCATTCTTCTTTTATATGAATCAAAATGGAAAATAGGAGACCAACATAATTAAGGACCACGGTAAAATATATCCCCCTTAACTACATTCAAGTGTGAAAACTCTACACAGAATGTCCAGTTGTACCTCTGATTAATATTTTTTAGTCAAGAAGACACAGAGAAAATCAGGAATATTGTCAAGTGATAATTTGGGATGGAAATGTGTGCTCTGAAACTCACTTCACATATATTTTAATCCCTCCCCACCTACAGTGTGAACTCCTGCTTCACACTATTTAGAAGACAGTAAGGAAGGAGACCATCAAGATAGGGAAAGAAAAGTGCAAGATAAAAAAAGGTAAAATTACTTATCATAACCACAAAATCAAAGCTGGTGTTCATTTTCAGAAAGACACCATCAAATGTTTGTGTCTCAGAAAACAGATAAGGATGAAATTCGTAATTTTCCAACTTGCAATAAACTCATATGAGTTTTCCAATGACATTTTCTAATATCTTCAAAAGCTAGAAACGTAAAACTGACATGCATAGCTTTCTTAAAACTTCAGTGTACAACACTGACTAATTTTTGGCACAGAGCAGAAGAGTTCTCTTGTCCTGTTCACTGATTAAGGATATCAGGACACTGCTGCCCTTGAATATGTCAACCATATTATAAAAACTTGATGAGCATCAAAAATAGAAAAAAATAAGAAACAAAGTCTCTTAGAACAACTTCAGTCATGGAATCACAGAATGGCTTGGGTTGGAAGTGACCTTAAAGACCATCCAGTTCCAACCCCACTGCCATGGGCAGGGACACCTTCCACCAGCCCAGGTTGCTCAGAGCCCCATCCAACCTGGCCTTGGACACTCCCAGGGATGGGGCAGCCACAGTTTCTCTGGGCAACCTGTGCCAGGGCCTCCCCACCCTCCCAGGGAAGGATTCCTTCCTAATATCCAATCTAAACCTGCTCTCTGTCACTTTGAAGCCATTCCCCCTTGTCCTTGTAAAGGACCTTTATGGTCTCTCTCCATCTTCCTTGTGGGATCCCTTCAGGCACTGGAAGGCCACAGTTGGGTCATCCCAGAGCTTTCTCTTCTCCAGGCTGAACAATCCCAACTCTCTCAGCCTTTGCTCCCAGCAATTCCAAGATGAATTGCAGGTATTTGTCCTGCAGGAAACTGGGATAGAACCACAGAGCCAGGCCTTTCACATCTTCCCCTGTCCTGGAAAACATGGCCTTGTGCACTGAATGTCTTGGCAGGATGGTACCTCTTCTAGGCAGGATTTCAACCTGTGAGTCCACTACAGGCACAATAAATCTTCAAAAATCAGAAACTTCAATTAACTTCAACAAGAGCTTAAAGAAAAGAGGAGAAAACCAGCCTTTCCTCCTTCTCAAAGACATTTTTGGGAGGGAGGGTTATGGGAATTTAGGGGGAACATGAGATTAGGAAGAAAGCACGAGAAAGGATTTATCACACGAGATAAAACAGAAGAAAATTTAAAAGCAATAGGAAACGAGGACAAAAAGCTATGTGGATTGACAAAGCTTTACATGGGCTTTAAATGTTGAAGGCAAAATACTGCTTGTAAGGCAAGAGCATTAGAAGGGAACAAAAAAAAGATGTGATGTCCTATGACACTTCCAGATTTCATGGGATTCAGTGCTTTTTAACATTCAGAAAGTGAGATCAAGCCAGTAAATGATATGTTCATTTGAATACCACAGAACATTTTCTCTTTACTTGCTTTTAAGGCAGAGCACTTAATATCTGTAATTCTGTGCAATAAACCCCTCATTCACGATGGAATTGATTTCTCCAGATAATTACATCTTTCCTTAATACTGTTTAAACAGATGCTTTTGTATTTAATACATGCTTGCATTAAAAGTTAATTGACATGGTCAGAACAGTCAAATGGTCTTAAAACACTTTTAAAAATGGTGCAGTGCTTCAAGTGGACTTTTGATGCATACAGATCTAATATATCGCGAGAAAATAGAAAAAAATATTATCCTTTGCATTTTTTATCTGAACTGTTGCTTACAGTACTTAAAAGGTAACTGTTAATTGCAATGTAAACAACTTCAGGGGGCTATGAGCAAATTAGCCTTTTCTTTCCTTTAAACTTCTATACTAATGGCCATTGTTATTTTGATTCAAGAGCTGCACTTAAGTCAAACCAAAATCCTATTGATAGCAAAACAGGTTTTGTTCAGATACTCAACAGCAATGGATGTGATTTCAAATACTTGCTAGGAAGTGTATTTTTACTCAAGTCATGGTAAGTGAACCAACTTAGGCCTATTATATGTATATTACATAATATTTCTGGATATGATATAATTCCTCATAGCCAGCTTTTCATTTTTTAGATAAGATTTCTATGAAACAAAAATAGGGGTGGACAACAGATGTTTGTGTCTATCACCTAAGAACTATCAAAAAATTTGGATCAAAAATTCCTGCGAATCCCATACAATTAAATCCTGCATTTAACTCCCTAAATTAAAAATGACTGCTTGGTTTCTGACTACAGAAAATGGTAGCTGTTGAAGGAATAAGTATTAAACTGATAGGAGACTTTTCCTCAGTGCCAAAAGTTCTTGAATCTGCTTGATACAGATGAAGAGTCCTTATTTATTTTGCATTTTTAAATACTTGTGTTTACTGGCAGCCTGAGGACTCGAGGCCAAAGACTGATTCTTTTCTTTGGGGATCATATATGTTAATATTTTTTTTCAAACAGAAAGGAGCTGAAACAAAGAGAAAATCATGAAGGTTTTTGCATGTGCACATCCATACCTGAGCATTAAGAAGCTCTTCACATTTGTGAGAGTGTTTTTCAATGGCTAGTATATACTGCTTTTCAATAGCTGCTTCTTGCTGCTGAACTGTAGATTGTAGCAGTGCCTGCAAAAAGAAAGCACAGAACATTCAAGGAAGATATAACTGGGATGTTTATTGGTAACTGCAGATCCACTAAGGCTTGTCCATAACCAGAATGTGGAATGCTGTTATAAATTTGGAATGTGCAACTATTAAAGTACCTTTCTGTGTAACACTACCTTGTTTTCAGTCAGGACCAACATTTTTTGGATCTCAGATTTCTTATACAGGCTGCCTAAAAGACAGCAGCGCACAGAAGATAGAGAGGGAGAGTATTTCTGTTAAATATACTCAGTTTAGTGGGACCACACAAGAAGAGAAGCATATGAAAGCTGCTGAAGAAAAAAAAAAAAGGAAAAAAAAAAAAAGCCAGACATATTTCCCTGGCTGACAAAACTCCACATCCTCTCGGCACTGTGTAAGATCCCATGGGCCAAGCATGATCTTCACAACCACAAGTCAAGTAAAAGCAGATGGAAACTCTGAGCAACTGCAAACATGAAAGAACGCCCCCCCAGGATGTTCACACTCGAATGTGGAGCGGGGGAAGCCGAAGTGTGGAAAGTCGAAGCACCAAGGCGAGCAACAAAGGGATGCTGCGGCGAGGAGCTCCGCGCGTGAGCACGTGTGAGCGCGTCCACACACGCCTGGCCCGACCCTGCACGACTTCTGAGCGCAGAAACAGAAACACAGACGTTCAAGACACGCAAAAAACCAAACTGCTGTGAGAGGAACTGCGCTGTTTTAACGCGGGGTTTGCTCACCTCGTGCTACGCGAGTCTTTTTCCCCCGATATTGTAAAATATTCGTGCCGCTGCCCAAATATTCTTCAGGCTATTCATGCACAACGTAGCAAACTATTTTTAACTAGTAATCAACACAGAGAAGTAGTCAAAATGACTGTGTAAGTTAAAACAGACGTAAGTTTCGCAGAAAACAGACCTTTGGCCTAAATGCAGATGAAGAAAAAAAATCCCATCTTTCAGACAGTCTTTATTTTAGAGAGATATTTCATTCATGGAACACAACACACACATTAAATAAACTTCGGAATACTTTTCAAAAAAAAATAAAAAGAGAAATGCATAAAAAAATTAAAATCTTCTGATAATTTTTGAACTAACTTTTCAAATTTTCCACTAACTGTCCTCTTATGCTGTTCTTCAGTGTTGTTATAGTATGGCAGCAGTTTTCATCACAAGTTCAGTGATTTAAAAGGTTAAAATTTGTGCTTAACATGTACTTTATTAAAGTGTAAGAATACACTTCCTGGTGTTTGCAGAGGATTTCTCCAACCGTAAGCTTACTTTCAAAAAATGCCAATTTATTTCCAAGTAAATTTATTTCTTTTATTGATAGAAATTCAAGCAATCAGAATGAACTCACTTCTCAAAGAAGTATAACTTCTATATATGAAACTTCATATACTAAACAAACTGCACAAAATAGAATTGCCACATATCACTGGCACAAATTAAACCTGCACTTTGGGGTACGGGTTCTCTTTTTGCCAACACTATTGTGGCAAGAAATGTTTCATGTAACTGGCACAAAAGAAAATAAAAAAAAAATCTGATATTAAGTAAAACAGTAACAGAATTGTCATTAAGCTGCAATGGCATTTCTTGCTCATGCCAAGGGTTGAGTCACTTTCTGCACTTTGCTATGCAAACTTTACTGGCAACTGTTAAAATCCTATTAAATGGTATAAAGAACTTTCAGTTTTCAAGGAAATAATTATTATTCATTGGATGGCACGTAGAGGTTGTTAAATTTTTAAATTTAATTTATTATTACTATTTTTCTTTTTAGAAACAAAAGCCTTCTTTTTCTATCATAACACAGTTCAAATAGCACCACAGGACTGATCCACAGTACTTCCAAGAATCAGGTTTCTTGATGAGAAATACAGAAGAGGGGCAAGATATCCATCCAAAGCTTTGGAAAATGTCAAGCTAATCAACTACTCAAATTACTAATTAAAAAAAAAATTGATTTACTAATTAACTCACTGAACTAAAACATTCTTTTGGCTACTTGATGATAGGTATCTCTAATCTTAGAGCTACAACTTTCTTCAGCACAATGACACTAAAATCTTGTCATTAATTGCTATTCTGGGCAACTATTCTTATCCATGATGAACCACCACTTTCTTCCTTAATAAATTAGATGATTATCCTGGTGGGCTGATGTTCCATAAACCCATGGCCAGTGATCTGATATCAAGCTGGCATTCTTGAAGCAGGCTCCTTTCGATGGGTCCCTGAATCACTTCAATAAGGTTACAGCAGAATGTAGCCCATGGCATCTGCTGCATGAAGTCAAAAGGTAGGATTTCAATATGGGTGCTCTTCTTAATTAGTTAATTAATCCTTCTATATATTGTGCAATGAACCTCCTTGGCACTGGGTGGCAAGGGTCATCACAGAATCATGGAATGTTAAGGGTTGGAGAGGACCTTAAAGATCATCCCTTTCCAAACCCCTGCCACAGGCAGGGACACCTTCCACTAGATGAGGTTTTTCAGGGCCCAACCCAACCTGGCCTTGGACACTTCCAGGGATGGGCAAGTCATGCCCCTCTCATCTTAACAGGACTAAACCTTGTGGAATTTAACCAACAAGAAAAATTAGGAGTCTTCATCCTGCCTCAGTCCTGGCTTTCCTTTCACAAAGAACAGGGCAATAGCTCTCGAACCACTACAGATGAAGCCAAACTAAAATTTCAGAGATTCCTTGATTATAGTTCTTTTTCTAATACCCATATCCCATGGGTTTTGTGAATGACAACATTTGAATTGTAGGATGTGTTAGAACCTTGTAGATCCTTGCAGGAGAGGGAGGTGGAACACGTTCTAGTGTCTGTAAATGACATGTTTTAGTTGTATGACAAAGCAATTTCAATGCTAGAATTTCTCTGGGAGAAGTTCTATGTCCCTGCTTGCTATTTTGCCACTTGGAAATAATTCATATTCCCAACGCACATTATGCTCCATCACCAAACTGTCTTAGGTTTTTGCTCATTGTTTCTGGACATATTCATGACCAACTTTGGGGCGGTTTTTAGAGAACAAATTCACATTGTCAACGGGAAAGCTAAGGAGTAACACATGGATGCTCATGTTTAACAGGAACAGTGTGGCTGCTCCCAGAGAATGGCCCAAATAACAGGACTTGTTAGACAACAATGACAGCAAATCAAGTCTTCTTCTAAAGCTTCAACTATCAGAAACATTTTTAACCACTCAAGAAATCCTGCTGCTTCCCCATTTTCTGATCTCTCTTCTAACCCCAAAAAAGCTATCTATCCTGCTTTTCCTTCAATACTCAAAAATGCCTGGTGGCTTCTCACAGAACAAAGAGACTGAAACAACTTAAGAAGAAGTTCTCTATAAAGGCTTCATATTCATTTTAGTTTGATGTATGATGGGTTATAATAATCACAGAAACCATTATTTCCTCAAACTGTTATAAAAACCTTCCCACATTTAAATGACAGTACAAAACATTTTTAAATTAAACCAAGTAAACCGAGTAAATTATTCTGAACCAGTTTGAGCTCAGATAAAGAACTAACCTTAAATTAGAATAATTTTAGAAGACCCTGAATTGAAACTAGATCCAGCCATCAAAATGAGATCCATAATCACCTTGGGGTATCCTCAAGGGAATAAATGAATAAATGTAGCCAATATGAGATGAAAAGTTTAAATATCAGAAAACACAGCTGATCACAAAGATCACTAGATGATTATCTCCAAAGTTTGTCCTCATACTTGAAAAGGCAGAAGTGCAATGACTGTGGTTTTGCTAAAACCATGGCACAGACCCTCCAGCCCGTTTTTAATACGACTCTATTTGCACAGCCCCAGTGCATCCTGTCTTCATTCTACTGGCAATTGAAACCACAGCTACTTACCCAGAGTTTGCTGTGTGGCCAGAAGCTACAATTTATGAGAATCCTTCTTGAATTAAAGAGCCAAAATACAGACTGTTACCCCCAACTCTTCCCAAATTCCCTAAGAGCAGCAAATTACCAAATCTCTTTCTTTTTTATTGGAGAAAAAAGCCAGTGAGGGGAAAAAAAAAAAAAAAAAAGTCAAGAAGAAAAACAAAGCAGATTTTATTACCCCTTCTTATCTGTTCTGAAAAACAGTATAAAAGAAATTCAGGCTCATGCACAGCACAGGCTTCCCAGATGCACAGAATTGTTTGAGAAACCCACACGTAACACCAGTGGATGAAACCAGCACCGTGATGTACATGCTGCTGGGTTATGTTCTAGAATGCTCCTTAAAAGCACTGCATCAAAACCCTTAGCCAATCCAAAGGAATAGCCTGCTCAAGCATCATTAAGCTGCTCAAATAACTAAAATACAAGCCAGTACATCCAACATCTTCTTTACTTCAAAACTGCTGAGTCAGGGTGACCGAAACAAGCTGGCTTTAAAAACAGAATTACTGATGAGAAGTAAAATTACCCTATTGCTTCAAACATATGAACTACTTTAAATGTCAGCATTGATTTCAGCAACAGTACGTAAGAATTTTTATGCTTCACAGCATTAGACAATGGTTCATCTAATTCAGCAACCTGTCTCCACCAGTAATTATTTCTACTACTTTATTTAAGGGTGAAGTGCAGTTAACCAGTTGTTGAATGAGGAAACAGAGCAGGAGACACAACTGAAATCTTTTCCTGACCTGCAGAAAAGATACATTAACTCAATAAAGCATTGTGTTATAATTAAGCTATGAGCTATATAAATAAAACTATTTAAAAGATTATTTAAAATGTCTTTTTTGACAGAATTCAACTTATCCACTTCATCCCAAGATACTGCACATTTTCACCACTGGGCTATTTCCAGGTGAGACTCCCTTCAAGTGAAAATGAAACATGTCCATTCAAGTGCTATGGATTGAAGGGGGTAAAATGCAAGAAAAGGGAAATGTGTTTTTTGCAAAGTGGTATAAAAATCTCGGCTTCATTTTCAACTGCTTGTGGTATCCCAGTAAGGATCAACAACTTACACTCTGAATGCTATGATGGGTTTATCTACATAGCTCAGTTTTACTGACCTGTGAGTGTAAAGGATTTATTTACCACAAAACACTGTTCTCACAGGCTCCTGACAGAAACAAACTGCAACCTCACTCTCAATCAAACCTTTCTGTTATTATATTAACACTGCATTTATTGTTCTGTAGTCAGAAGCACATATTAAAGTCATCCTTGCTAAAAGGGGAGGGAGAGATTTCTTGCAATTTTTATAAGTACTTTGAAAATATAAAGGTGTTTCCATCTACAACAAAATATTTTTGATAGGCAGGTCTTTGGAAGATTGAGACTTGATTGCACCTCCCTTTTATCTGCATTCTGCAGAGAGACTTTCACAGTACATCACTGGTGTACACGAGTACTCCCATACTGCAAAAATCACAAGGGATCTCTCCTTTTCCAGCCATCAGCTCTTCATGACAAAAACCAGTGTTGTTTTATATTCAAGGCTCACTTGAATTCTAGTGTGACTTGCACTTGAACAAGCTTAGAAGTTGGAAGTGAAATACAAGCCCTTGCAACAACTCTTGAATTTATCCTTTTATTCATGTGTCAGTACTTTCTGAGCCAGGATGTCAACTTGGAAACTTAATAAGCTAAGCTGATGTTTTAAAGAGCTGAGAACTGGCCACATTTCAGAGCTTTCTCTCACTAGGGATAAACTACGTCTAAAAAAAGATATCCTGATTCTAGATTAACTTCTTTTGTAATTAAATCTTTTTAAATTTCCTTTGTTTATTAGAGGTTAGCCTTTCAGTTCAGAGGTCTATTATTGACACAAATATTTTTGAAAGACAATCTGATTTGCCCCCACATATTCCATACTTCGCAAATCTGGAAATTTGAAAAAAACCCCACCACCTAACACTGAAAAGTGATAGATAAAACTCTTACTGCAGCAAGGGCTGGAAGGAACTTTGCATCTTGAAGTTAATTTCTATAAAAGGAAACACACATCTGATTCATGCAAGCAGTCTTTTTGAAGACTAATAATTGCCTAAAGTAATCTAAGGAAATAAAAATCATCTAATAAATACACCTCCCTGTAACCTCATATTCTTTAAAGCTTACATTCGAGGATATTTTATACAGTGAGAAATATAAACAAAACAGATTAAAACTCCTAACTCCTCTATTTACAGAACTGTGACAATTTCAGAACAAAAGCCTGACTAAACAAGCACAGAAGAAATTCTTATGTTGCTTGTGGTGAGTATCTTAAAATGTGACGTGATCCCACAAGTGTAATTTCCAAGATCTACATTTACTTTTCTTTACTGTGGTTAATTACCAGGGATAAAAGTTTAAAAAAATAATGACACGAAGGACAGAAATTAAACAAAATTAGGTAAACATGAGAAGGGGAAACTTGGCCTACACAGAGCACTGAGTTAATTGTTTTTCTGTGTTTTTAATACCAATTTTGTGACTGTGTTGTAAATGGTTTATTTGTCTAAAGGAAGATAAGAATGTGAGATGTTTAACAATAGCCAGGGCTTTTGAGGGTTTGTGCTACAAAACATCTCAGGGTCTCTGTTAATGGATTTCCCAACACACTGAGCAAGTCAATATTCCAAGGACAACTTGGAATAATTCTAAGGGCTTTGGTACATCCAGGTCCTTGAGACAAGATGGTCCAGTGTTTGAGTGCTTGTGTAAGCTGCATTTTCAGCACTGCTGAAATGTTAAGAAGGACCTACAGCAAGGGTGGGAATTGAGAGCATTTGGCCTCAGCCTTGAGTGCCTGATCTGCCTGGGGATACCATACTGGTGAAAGATCTGTGTGGAGAAACCCTGTTCCTTTTGCAGCAAATCACTGCCCAAAACACAAGGAAGAGACTATCAGAAAGTGTCACCCATTTCCAAGCACAGAAAGGTACATCAGCATCAGAAGTCTGTAAGGAGGGCAATCAGCTCTAAGTGGAAGAAAACTGTGAGTTTCTGGTTATTAACTTGGCAACCTTGTGCACAGAAGTGAAAAAACAGCATCCCTCTTTTCCTTTGTGCACCAAAGTAAAGGCACTTCCACAAATCCACCAGCAGCAACACTTGTCTGTGCCAGGAATACAGAAAAGGCAAGTCAGTCAACTTTTTTTCCACAGCTGTTCAAGTCAAAGTTTCAATCCCTGAGTTAGAGGATTTGGACTTTAAGGGGTTCTGGGGATTATTTCCTGGGGCTAATGATGAGCAGTTCATGTTTTTACACAGCTACTCTTAAGCAACCAATGCTGGCCATTATATTCAGTCAACTCTGCTTGGAGCAGCAATACAAAATTATAATTGACTGGTATCAGAGAGGATTAGTTCAGAATTCCAGCAGTCATGACTGCAACAGAACCCAATCTGGGCCTGAGCAATCCCTTGATTGGAATAATCTGCGTCAGTTCATTTCACTGGACCCCAAGGAATGCAAAATAAGACTCTGTTGATCATAGGCAAGATGTTCCTTCCCATTCCTTTTAAACAATTCAGTGAATTTCTACACTCAAGGTAATTTTGGGAATGATTAAGTAGTACTTACAAAATCTACTGAAAATGGAAATCACTTCTGCTTATAAATGATATGTATTAGTGTAATGAAGCCTTAAATCCTAAAGAAGACATATTTCAGCACAAAATTAAGTATGGCTAATAATGAGTAAAATAAAGAGTCAATGAACCTCATAATTCTGTATTTCAGTGAAAGGACCTAATCAGATCAACTTTACATTTTTAAACAAATGCTACATGTAGGACTCCTCATTTGGTTATCTAACTAACTGCCAACATGTCTGAAAAACAGAATAAATTCCTAAAGATATAAGCACTTAAAAAGTCCCCCAAATGCAAAATACTATTTTTAAAATTACAAAAAGACATTTGACTAAGTTATTCAAGGGGAAAAGAAATCTTAACTCTGTTAAGATTTCAAATTGAAATATATTAACACAAATTAACATTTTAAAAGCATCCATGAGATTATTTTCTCAAACAAAGCTACAGAACACTTGTTTTGCCTTCAGTGACTTCTTTGATGATTCACTGCTATTCTTTTATTTTTTTAAGTACATGATAAAGGGTTAATAAAAAAGGTTATTAAAGTAAAAACTATCAATGAAAAAAGCCTTTTTTTTTATTTAAACCTACTAATCTTTCTTGATTTTTCTTGCTCCCCTCAAGAATAAGTCACTGCATGTTTGCAGAGAATACAGATTGCAGTAATTTACTTGGAGGCTGGTATATCTGATATTTATCATCAGAGAGTTCAAAATATGGCAACTAACCACATGAGGCAACAGGAAGGTTTGTAAGAAGTATATTCACGTCATGGTTCCCTGGTATTAAAGAATGTCTTTATATAAACATTCTATGAGAAATAATATACTAAATATAAATATTGTTCAGAAACACAGTCCTCAATTAACTCCCTGATCTTCTGTGCTGAATCACTGAAACTGACAAACATAAACCTTGTTTTCCAGGTGGCATACCAGGTCCTCCCAGCTGCTTCTGATTGGCAAAATAGTTTTCAAAAATCCATATGGCACCAAAATATATTCCTTTACCCAACTACACATGAAGAAATTATTCCTTCAAAGGGCCAATATCACCCACGCAAAACTCTTCTTTAGCTCACACAAAGGCAGTAAAATGTTGGAAAATTACATCTAGAAAACATTCAAAACTTTTATTCAATGCTATAAAATTGTTGCATTTCACAATTTTTTTGTATTTTCAGAAAAATTAAAAAAAAAAAAGGAGGAAACATAAGTACAGAAACTACGAATAGCTCACAGGCTTTTTCAAAATTTAAATGTTCACAAAGGAACAGCCAGATATTTTCTACATATCTGGCACAAAACAGACATGAAAAATGCTGATATTGAAGATGCTCAGTGGCCCATACAAAGCAGCACCGTCCAAAGAGAATTTCCCTCTGAGAACTTCTATTGCAAAACGCTCCTCAAAGAGGGAAGGCAAAAGAAACACGGCAATTCTCCTCAAGAAGTGAAATGTGGGAGGTATGGAGAAGTGAGACATCACCAGTGGCCATGCTTAACTCTCCTCTGGAATGGAAAATTTGAAGCCTTTTTCTGGATAGATTCCCTTTAGATGAAATCAGTATAAGTTGCACTGATGGGCACATATCTGTGGAATTCTTATTAGATATTTTCCATAACAGAAGGCACAGGTTTATCCATGGTAACCCCCAGTTTGTTTATCTCACCAGCTGACAGGAACTAGAAACAACAGGAAAAAAATTACACCTTCAGCCTTGTTTCATCCCTAACTCCTTCCCTCTTGGTGCTGCACAGATAAAAAACCTGCTGAAGTGCTCTGTGATGCTGCTTTCCTGAAAGTGCAGCTCTTGAGACTGAAGAGATCCAGCACGTGGATTCGTGATAAGCAACTCCAAACCAAAGTTCCCCACAACTGACAGCACTTTTGGTCTGCTCTGGTTTTAAGTTTCCTTACTGAAAATGGCTAACCAACCTCGGCTGAAGTTTCCCAAAGTGCAGGCTCTGAGAAAACATGTCAAGCCAAATTTCAGAGCAGACAGTCTAAATGGAAACAGAAAAGGCAGTCTCAGAGTGAAAAGAGGTTGAGCAACCAGAACAAGCAGAGTGTACTAATAAATGTGCACTGCAGGCAGTCACATATATATAATTACAATAACATTATTTGAAAATTGTGTCAGCTTGGCGACTCATTTACCTTGAATTCTTCAACAATAATACTCAAGGCTTCATGTCCAGCTTTTCTCATGTCTTCTAATTCCTGTTTATGCTTTTCCTGTACAAAAACATAGAGAAGATTATGCACAACATGAGCACCTGACGCAACAATTTTAATTAGGAGAGTAAATATCGATTATTTTTCTCATTTTTGGTATCTTTCATGAAGAAATGAACACAGCTTGACTCTGTTCATATATATATGCTAAATTCAAGTAGGTCCCAGCATTAAACACGATTTTATTTCTTAATTTTAAGAAAGGAATCAAATGTGAGTTAAGAAGTTTGAAATTTAAGTAAAACCATCTTCAGAGGGCTTCCACCTCTTGTGCCTTGTGATGGACAGAATGCCACACAGAACACTGGCAGTAATTTAACATAAGCTTAGAAGTAATTTAACTAAGCATTCCAGAAAGAATGAGGCATTGCATGCACACAGTCAGAAAGTAACAGGCAATTAATTGCTCAATACTTAATCAATGCTTCAATTATTTTTGATTTAGTGACTCTTATATGAGAAATTACAAACAATTTATTAAAAAAATACACACTCTAATGCTACCAAATACATGTACCTTCAGAAACACATCAAATAAAAACTCAAATTAGAAGGATGAGAAGGTGGCATCGAACTTGCAACGTTTTCTTACAATCTAAAATCCAAGTGACTCCAGACTTCACTTGTGTTCTCTGAGACCCCTGTGAACCAAACCACTGTCAAGGCAGATGGATCCAAATGCCTGAGGAGTTTCTGAGAGGAGCAGCTCCCAAGGACACCATGGGGCAGAGAAACCCTAACAACAGTCCTAGCACTCTCTCAGATCTTTTCTTTGAATCATTTTGAACTAGGTGAGCCTTTGTCAGTACAGACATTTTTAAATCGGGTTCTTAATTAACATCCAGCAATGAGATTTTCACCTCCACAAAATCATCTTTCTTCCAAAGCATCATTTTGCATCTTAATGATTCTGTTAATCATTATGATTAATGTATCAATAGAAGATTTCCTTCAATTCATGCAAGTACAGAGAAAAAATATCAATACTGAATGCAACAGAACTAAATCAATGAAAATCTGAGTTAAACATTATGACAATCAGTCCATAATGGCTAATTAATATCCACACTAGAGTGTGCTATTGTATATAAAATACAGATTGGTCACTACTTCTGTTCATGTGAAATAAGCACATGAGCTCTCCAGAACTAAAACACGGGGTGTATCCAGGTCTACAGCAAATATTTTCATATCATCAACATCCCAGTGAAAGATACAGCTAAGAACTTAAAGATAAGGACAGATACAGGAAGGAGAGAAAGATTTCAGGTTTCCCTGTACAACCAGAAGCATGCAGGATGTAAAACCTTAAGCTCACCACAGGAACCAAGGAGGCTGCATGATTTGCTTTACACAAGTAAGTATCATTTATACCTGGGCTATAACAACAGAAGACTTTGAAGTGAATAATGAAGTGAGGTAGCAATCAAACTTTCACGAGCAACTGCCTCACATGGTGGTGAGGACATTTCCTGCTGAGTTAGATCTGGGCTGAGCCAGAGCTGAGTGGCTGTGAACACACCAGTCTGCTGGGAGATATTATGACTGATTAAATGTGAAAAACTATGCAAAGGAAATAGTACAGAAGAGCCTGCACATGCCCCAAACTGAAACACAATTACAGCTCCCATACCACTCTTCAAGTATTTGCACTGTATTACAACCCTATCATATTTAGGACATTGCTATTCTGTGAAGAAAAAAAATACCATTTAAATCTTCTCATTTTTTTCTACAGGATGTGAACAGAGGCTCTTCACTGAAGAGGACACTAAAAAAGAACACCAAGAGCTAAAATGCATGCAGAACAATCTGTTAATTAATACTCAGTGCTCTTGGTATTAATATACATTTTGCTAGCAAAACTGTATTTATGTAAATTTTATGTAAATGCTGGCTCTGATTCTGTTCAATACCTTCACTAAGGATCTGGATGATCAGGCAGTGTATATTGCATTTTCATAGAGGTGGACCATTTGTAACTCATAATGATGTTCATAGCCCATTCCTAGAGGACACCTTCAGTTCTTTTCAAGTGTTTAAAAACCTGAGATGACTACAGAGAAACCTGAAACTCAGTCCAGTATCTTCAAAAGCATGCAGGTAGAAATTGTATTTAAGCATGAATAAAAGCTTTCTAGAAGACACAAAACAAGAACTCACAGCCTCACTGTATGTAAATACTCGTTGTAAGACCATAAGATTAACATATCTTTGAAATTTGTCCAATGTAAGAAAGGAATGAATTGTTTTCTTCCTTCCTTGTTTTTGCAATATGGAAAATCAGTTTATTATAACATAACCAGTCCTGCTTAGCACAAAATCAACAGAAAGAAAAGTTACATCTTTACATTTCAATCTCCTTTTCATTTTCAGTATCTGGGCTACTTTCTTTGGCTGCCTCTTGATACAAAACTCCAGAAGCAAACAGTGGCCATGTACTTTCCTCTTCCTTCAACCTTAACTCTTTTTTTCTAGTTTGTAAACACATTTTGGAACACTAAAAACATTCCAGAGCAGACCTGCTATCTGAAACTAGATGATCAACAGCTATTTTCCCATCAAAGCACAAGCAAAGCATCTCCAGCACAAAGTGGCTGCCATGTTTATGCAAGGCTTCAAATGCCTTTTTTGTTTGTTTCCTGAAGACAATGAATGATGAGCAACTTGAAAAAAACTGAGAGAGCCCGCAGGACAACCAGAGACACAAGTAATCATCTCTTCATTGAGGTGCTGCATTTGCTTCACTAGAATGGTGACAAGAATTTAGATCAGAAGACAAAATAATCAGCATTTTGGGAAACTGAGCATCAAATCAAGGTTAGGTTTCATAGTACAAGAGCCTCTTCTAACGTGGCAGATACATTTAAAACAACCAAAAATGTTATATTCCACATGACAGTGATTTAGATTTACAGTAACTGATTTTCTGACTAGTTTAACATTTCAAACACTGCATTTGATTTTTGGTTCAGGCATTCCTGACCCTGCCCTTAATTGGCAATGAGGTAGGCCAGTTTGGAGTAAAATATTCCAAATAATTCAGCTTGGGGAATATCCCCTGGATTGGAGTTATGACTTCAGTGACTAAGAGCGGGATATTTATTTTTCTCAGTTTATGAGCAAAGTATTAAATCACAAAATCACACAATCATTCAAGTTGGAAGGGATGTCTTAAGGTCATCTAGTTTAACCTTCTTCTGAAAGCAAGACCAACACTGAATTCAAACCAGATTGTTTAGATTCTTGTCCAGTCAGACCTTGAAAAACTCCAAGGATGGAGATTTCACAACCTCGCTGGTTAAGACATTCCTTATGTCTTATCTTCACCATTAAATTATTTTTTTCCTTAGACCGAGTTGCCACTTCCCACGTTTGAATCTATCACTGTTTCCTCCACCCACCTCTGCAGAGCACCACGATATTCCCATGGACCAAAAGGCTGGCACGCCCGGATCCGTCCATCATCCTCCTTGTCTTTTCCCAACAATCAGAGGGCTTCCCTCAGTCTCTGAGCTGACACAGAACTCTCTCATAGTGACAGCCAACTCTCCCATCCCTCCTGGCCCCTGTGCTCTGAAGCTGCTCGTTGTTATAAATGACAACTCTTTTCTTCCGTGGCTTTTTAACGAGCTGATTACTCCTCATCTGCACCAGAGATCCAGCCTCGCACCCCAACACATCCCAGCTATTTCAGTGACGTCAAATGTAACACATGAAGCTCCAGCTCCTCCTCTTTGCTTCCCAGAATCCATGTATTGGCATATGCACAGCTGAGATAGACCCCTGAAATCAATTCAATTGTTGAGAGTCTGGTTTGGGTTATTTCTTTCACCACCTCCCAGCTCTGAGGTGACTAAACTCACACTTCTTACAATACACACTTTAACGTATTCTCTTCCTCAAAGAAAAGCAGCCTCACCAAAATCCCAAAGTCAAAATCACCAAAATTAACCCCTTTTTTAAAAATTTATTATTTAAACCAGAAAACATCAGATGTAACAAAACCTCTTTTGATTACAAAAGAGTCAACCACGATTGATAACACCTAAAGTTACTTAGAGATAACTAAAAGTTCTGTTGGATATTAATAGGGTTTTGGTGTTTTGTTGGGTTTTTGTTTGTTTGTTTGTTTTTAAATTTAACTGTGCAACTTGAAAACCAGACCTGTTAGACTTTAAAATTACAGATCATTAAGCCATGTAATCTATTTTTAACAAATATTACTGTTGGTCACTAAAGGCAAATGGATTCATACAGATAAATATTCAAAACCCCAAAGTTATAGTGTAAACAACAAAAACAGACATAAACCTGTGCTTTTTCAAAAATACTCCACGAGGAATACAATTCAAGATTCTTGACAGTGATGTGGCTGTTTAATTTATTTTATACACTCCATTTACTTCTTGACCTTGATGGTATTAACACTTAAAAAAAAAGAAATTGCAAGAAAGATTGCATAAATTTGAGACAGGGACTGACTTTTCCATTGCTGTATCTAACACTTATTCACTCCCTAGATCTTTTTCATGTTGCCATTACGTCACTTCTAGAACACACTCTGCCACCCCTCACCCTGCCCTTCCCTTCAACGAGGGTAAAACCACGCTTCTCATCTTTGAATTTTTTTATTTTGAACAACACTAACTCCACAGCTTCCTATTTTAATCTATTCAATATGCTGCAGTTAAAAAACAACAACAAAAAATAAAAAGCCGATCTGCCCTCACCAAAACAAAAACCAAATCTGAACCAAAAAATCCCACCAAAAGGAACCATCTTGCTGCTGAAAGAGCGCAAGGGAGAAGCAGAGAGGTTCTAATTTGGACACAAATATTATTTCCTCCAACTCCACACACCAAGACCTTCCGAACACCGCCCCTTTCCAGAGTCCCTCGGTTCCTTTTCAGCCAAGCCAGCTGGCAAGGACGCAGAAACAAACTCAGTCTTGTCTTTGTCGTATGTGAGAAATTAAAACGTAAATACATCTTAGAAAG